ATTTGTTTATCACGTGTTTTCGTGAATTTCGCAGTTTAGTGCCGTATTTGCCAAATGTTTAAAACTTTTTAGGGTTAAAAATTAATTAACACAAAGACCTCAATTATAATGTAAATAAAAGTTCATTAAATTAACGACTGATAGACTAGTCATAGGTTTTTGAAGTTTTGCAAAGACATACCACCAGTAGATAGGCGTAAATCGGGAACAAATGAGTCCATTAATAAACATTAAAAACTATTTGCTGCGAAAACTGTATGAAATGTAGTGTTTTTCACTGATAATACCATTGATGTGAATGTATTGGTCTTTAAAACCAGAGATTACTTTAAAAAAAGAGTTTATATATTAAATTTATATAATTTAAGGTTTAATCATAACTTAAATATTCAAGGCTATGAAACATTAAGATCTATTACAAAAATTATTGAAACTAAATTAAAATTAGCACTGAAATGAATCAACAATAAATCAATGCATCTTAACTTGATAATCTAATAGATTTATGTGAATACAGTGTATAAAATGGGTTTTAAGATTGATTTTTGGCGGAAAAGTATCGTGAAAAAAATGATGTAAATTAACGGGAATTTTCCACTCGAAACGAGTTTTAAAATGTGTTTATAAAAAATGTATTTATAAAGCATTATTCATATGATTTGTCATTGAAACTCAGTGAACATACACTCAATAATTGTTTTACACACCACTTATTATTATAGTTGATAAATATTTATATTAAGTTAAACATTTAAATGACTATTAAGTCATGAAACGATGTTTACAAATATAAACATTCATTTAAGATAATAGCGTATTGTGGATAAGATTAGGCAAATAAAACTTTTACCATTTCTCTGGGAAAGGCGTTCACAACTATTGAATTAAATTGAGTTTTGTAACCAAAAGTGTCAATTGTAACGGTGTATCAAAAGTATAAGAATTTCATTTCAAAAGTGTAATAAAAACTAGTAATTTATTACAAAGTGTCATACAATGCGATGTCTAATATAGATTCAAATGTGGGTATAAATGCGATGGCATAGGCCACACCTATGAGCCCCATCGCGCCCACACTGATCAAGAGTGAGGGCTCGAGGGGTATGAGAAAGGAGGGGCCCATAAGTAGAAGCCCAACGCTGGTCAGAAACATTCCCAAAGCCATAATCGGGAACTTATTGTCGAAATATCCCGAAAACCAGCCCACGATCGGCGAGAATACGGTATACGCGGCCGACAGCAGTAGGAATACAATCGACACGTATTCCGGGCTTATGTTTAGGTCCCGGAAGTGGGGCTCAACTGTGGGGTCGAGGAAACTGATGGTTTGCGAGACTAGCACTACGACTATACCCACGACTAGTACTTGTGGTATTGATATAAGCTTTAAATATGACGCTGATGAGTCTTTTTGTATCGGAATTACGACTAGAATTGAAACCATTATAAGAATATTGAATTTATATGCAAAATAATAGCCAATAGTTTGTAATTACATTCAATGGGTTTTATGACATATAGACAGAGAGGTATAGTGGCTATCATGAGACCTCCCAATACGAAGAATGGTAGACTATAGCCGCCGAGACCGTACAGACCACCGCCAATGGCCGGACCTAAACTCATACCCAAACCGACACACGTTTCTATGAAACCCTAAAAATTGTGAATAATTATGAGAAAGTGTTATTTATTTTGCAATCATTTGATGTCAAGTTAAGGGAAATTCTTGTTTTTCACAAAAGATTAATAACTAAAAGTGCCTCTAATTATGTAACGTAAGTCAGTTTGTCTGATGTCGAAATATCCCGAAAACCAGCCCACGATCGGCGAGAATACGGTATACGCGGCCGACAGCAGTAGGAATACAATCGACACGTATTCCGGGCTTATGTTTAGGTCCCGGAAGTGGGGCTCAACTGTCGGGTCGAGGAAACTGATGGTTTGCGAGACTAGCACTACGACTATACCCACGACTAGTACTTGTGGTATTGATATGAGCTTTAAATATGACGCTGATGAGTCTGTTTTTATCGGAGTTACGACTAAAATTGAAACCATTATAAGAATATTGATATGCAAAATAATAGCGAATAGTTTGTAATCACATTCAATGGGTTTTATGACATATAGACAGAGAGGTATAGTGGCTATCATGAGACCTCCCAATACGAAGAATGGGAGACTATAGCCGCCGAGACCGTACAGACCACCGCCAATGGCCGGACCTAAGCTCATACCCAAACCGACACACGTTTCTATGAAACCCTAAAAATTGTCTTATTAATACTCTTTCACAATAAATAAAACGTTAGTAAACTACAGTTCAATTCCCTTTAAGAACAAAAAGTGTTTTCTAATTATTGATTTTCACGGAGATTAATACATTGCATTCAGTCAAACAGACGAAATTTCCTAACAAGGTTTGTTTATTTATAATTGGCATCAAAAACAAAATATTTGCAAAGTTATTTCATTTTGCAATTTTTTGTCATAACATTTGTCAAACTCGTGTTACATATTAAGAGAAAATTGATAGGAATGGGAAGGAAAAGGAAGTAATCATTGGAACGGTATTTATTCATTGAGTGAATAAATAGTGGAAAACTGTTTTTGGAAACGCGATAACTATTGCACTTAAAGTGACTTCACATATAAAACTTGAGGCGAAATATTAGACCAAATCATAATTAAACAAATAAACACCAAATAGTATATAAGTTACGATAAACACCATATTTCCCAAACACTTGAGTACTCGAGTACAGAATTATGCAATTGATAACTCCATTAATAAATAAATCCTTAAATCGAGTTTAAATATAAGTGCAAAACAATTAAGGGATCAAATTTTAGTCATAAAATATTCTCATGACTCACAAATGCGGTGCCGATGTTGTCGGGGAAGACCTGCATAATGATAGTATAGGAGGCGGTGGAGAAGGAGGCGGCGCCCAAGGCCTCAAATATTCTGACAATAAAACAATAGGCCGTAAAAGTGGGCAAATCGTCGATTTTGTCCAAAACCCCGAACAACACGTTCGCCACTCCGGCCACAAACACACCGGAGATGAGCATAAAGTTGGGGCCAATGATTGGGATGAGTTTACCCGCTATGGGACTGAATATCATGATAACCAGGGCGTAGACACTGAACACGAAGCCATAGATGGTTTCCCGCATCCCTTTGTTGGACGCCTCCAGAGGAAAGAAGGGCGCAATCAATGACATCGACAGCATTGATGTGAACGACACAATTGACAGACAAAATAGCGTCGACTTCTGGTATCCGCTGTAATTGGCATTCAATTTGAGTTTAGAGACGGATAGCCGTCGCTGAGGGGCCAGTGGCTGTCGGATGAGCAGTGGGTGCGGGTTCTTGCTTCTGGGGGTCGCGCCCTGGGATAGCGACCGCCGCGGATGCACTCGATGGTGGTGTGACTTGTGGTGGTGACCGCGGGTGCGGCCACGGGTCCGGTGATGGCGTTTCACTTCATATACAGTGATCTTTGTCTCGTCGAAAAGGGTCTGTTTAATGGGTTTCGAGTTCTCATTATTGTCGGTATTATTCTCATTATTTTCCGCACTTTCCATATTTGATGCAAATTTCTAATTAAAAATTCAAAACTCATTAAAATATTGTGGCAAGCAAACTTTGCGTGATAAGTTTTTTGTTTTTATCAACACTTTTGAGACAATTTTTTTTACAATTGACACTCTTTTTAGGCACTGAAGCTAATGGTGAGTGAGGGACGAGTGGTGAAGCAATCAATACCTTCGAGTGTTGAGATATATTAGCGACTGATTGGGTGCTATCGGCGCTGATATGCTGTCGCCGTTTACACGAACCCAATGGCGGAGCCATTATATTGCCTGAGATGGGATGGGATGGTCCACAAAATTATTAATTAATTATCTAATCGTCTAAACACTTGATAAACTTATTGAACACAAGTCATTGTTATTAAGTAGTTATAGTATTGAGTAGTAGCTAATTGGAAAAGAAAATGTTGCTTGACTAATATTCTTGTGCTCAGAATTTTCATTATAAAACTCAATGCTTAGAAATATTTGTTTCGTACAAAACACAGAATCATAAAAACTGATTGTTTTGAAAAGCATACGTAAATGTGGTTATGATTTATGTCATTGTGTTAAACAAATAGTGGAGAAAAATTTGTGATTGAATTAAGTGATCAAAAGAGATCCTCAAACACAAAGTCAGTGTTAAATGTATTTAAAACATTGAGATTACCTACAATTTATGACTAGTTTATGGCTATTGTATAACTAGCGATGAAATTGACTGATAAATTAGAAATTATAAATAAATAAATACAAGTTTCGCGGAATTTTCAATAAAACCCAGATTATAAAACAAAATTAATTGTATTTCAGATAATTGAAGTCCTGAAAAGTGCTATAAATTATTTATATAAAATCTATATTTAAATTTAATATTAGTACTGAAAAATAAGAAACACTTTTTTATATTAAGAGACAAAACATTGAATACATTGAGTCTGTTATCAGTTATTATTAGCAAAATAGTTGATAAAACATTCGCATAAAAAACTTTTCTTTTGCCTAATGTTTGGTTTTGAGGACTAATATTATAGATAAGCATTTGTGTCTCAACTACTGACAATACACTGGAGCACTGGTAGGTTAATACACAGAATTTATTAGGGGTTGAATCTTACGTCACATAGATTTAGTAATTTTTATAATTAATTATAAATAAATAATCAGTTAAACAGTTACTTGTGATGAGAAGTTCACAGATTACAAGTGAAAGCAATTCAAACAATTGCTTTACATATAAATTATATAATTGAATTTCATTAGCGATAAATTGTTAAAAAAAAGTTTCAACAAACAAATAAATTAGTTTCGCATTCAAATAATCAATAATTCATTTGACTTTCGCTAATCTTTTCGTTACTAATTATAAAATGCAACTAAAATAACCGATTGATAACAACTTAGTCTAGTAGTAGTTTATTGGAAAAGTTTTATAACTATTATTAAAGTTTGTATTCAATGGTGAATTTTATGGCATTTGAAACGTTAGTTTAGCCATGAATTTGAATCCACTGTTTATGTCATCGATTTTTCCTGTTTTGATAGCAAATTCATGGTATCATTGCATTCATGAATATAGTACTGTATATGAATTTTGAGGCCTTTTTTGTAGTCAATTAATAATATCACTGAATAAAACAATCTAATAAAAACAAATAAAGACAATAATTTGAGTGCAAATAGACATTATTTATCTTATGATAAAATTTTAATTTATTTCTCCAGAATATTCTGTTATAAATTTGTTTATCACGTGTTTTCGTGAATTTCGCAGTTTAGTGCCGTATTTGCCAAATGTTTAAAACTTTTTAGGGTTAAAAATTAATTAACACAAAGACCTCAATTATAATGTAAATAAAAGTTCATTCAATTAACGACTGATAGACTAGTCATAGGTTTTTGAAGTTTTGCAAAGACATACCACCAGTAGATAGGCGTAAATCGGGAACAAATGAGTCCATTAATAAACATTAAAAACTATTNATACACTCAATAATTGTTTTACACACCACTTATTATAATAGTTGATAAATATTTATATTAAGTTAAACTTTTAAATGACTATTAAGTCATGAAACGATGTTTACAAATATAAACATTCATTTAAGATAATAGCGTATTGTGGATAAGATTAGGCAAATAAAACTTTTACCATTTCTTTGGGAAAGGCGTTCACAACTATTGAATTAAATTGAGTTTTGTAACCAAAAGTGTCAATTGTAACGGTGTATCAAAAGTATAAGAATTTCATTTCAAAAGTGTAATAAAAACTAGTAATTTATTACAAAAAAAATATTTAAAAATTTTACCGGTTTTCCAAATGTTGTACCAAAAGGTTTAACTCATAGTATAGTTATTTAACACTACTTTAACTGTGTTTAAGAAAAAGATTAACACAAAACATAAGACTTGTTAATAAAACTAATGTACAATATTAATACACTAGACAAATATGTTTAAGAAAAGTGGCTAATAAGGAAACAATTATCAAATAACCAGGGTACAATTGATAATGGATTGCAATCCGTAAAAATATATCATAATTAAGAGGTCAGCGCTTAAATTGGGATCAAATGATTGACAGCCAGTGAAGGCCATTGAGAATGAATTGATTGGTATTTTAGACAATCGTCGGGTAGTAACACTATATATAGAGAAATAAGCTTGAAAAAATTAAACAGGTTTATGTAAATTAATCAATCTACAAACTAACAATTAGACAGTTAGACACCCGTTAGGTAATATTAAAACTTATGGACAGGTAGCTTGTTACTAAACAAGTTGTTAGCATTCATTCATTGCCTGGAATTTTGTTGAATAAATTTGTTTATCATTAAAATGTTAGTATAAAGGTTTGGTTTAACTTTTCTGAAGTAAATGATCACTTGTAATAAATTATATATTTAAGAAATTATAATTAACAACTAATAGTCCATTAATTAGTATGAAACATGTTTTCGAAATTCTGGTTACATTAACGTTAAGTCTATTAAAAAGGTATAAAAACTTTATTTTTGTTGTTATTGAGGGCAGAAACGGATTCAATGTTTACTTATCGTATAAATCACTACTTGTCCTAAACGTGGACCTGTTTCTGGTGAGAGACATATCTTATAAAATCACCATTTGATCGGTTTAATGACTTTTACAGTAATTTCTAATTGAAAACTAATTATTCATGAAAATAAAGTTTTGCATAAAAAAAGTTTAAAACTTTTTTGTTATTAAGTTTACGCATTAAACCTTACGCTAAAAATACCTGTCCATCGATTTCAATGTTAGCTCACTTTAATAATAATTAACTAAAAATAACTTAACTAAAAATAACTTAATTAAAAGCAATTAATAACTAAATTATAAAACGATAAAAACATTTTCAAACAATTTTGAGCATCACTTCAATGCAAAACCAATGAATTGAAGGCCTATTCAGTGAAACCCCTTTTCAAAGGCTATGATTCGCCGCACAGTGAGTGTCACGCAAGACATGTGTGGACGCATACACAGCGAACGTAATGTTATTGCCGTACAACCAGTGCCCCACTCACTGTCAGCCCATACTGTCACTCACTGTTAGCGCAAACCCTTACCCACGCGCGGGTCACGTACTTCATGAGCGGCGCCGTAAACAACTAATGGCTGCCAAAAACATTTGAAAACTCTTTGAATGTCTTACAACTGGTCCTTCAGGTGACAAATGATTGCCGGAAATAATGCTTGAACTCTATGAGCACAACAAAGCCGATTGCATCCGACTGTTGAATATGATTATCTGCGAAATCCCGTTCATCAAGACCTTCAACGATGACTGCCTTCTGGAGCGGCTGCTGAACCTGATCTCGATTATCACCGCCGCCTTCGACGGCCACACCGCCGGCGCATCCCTTCATGACCAGCACGAGGCCATCGACACCGACGAGGAGCGCGAGCTTTCCATCAGGGAGTGGCTGCTCAGGCACTACAACAGCAAGTGCTTCATCGATGACCTCAACTTCGGCGATCCCGAAGACCGCACACGAGTTACGGTTCTCATCATTAATATACTCTTCAAACTCAGACATTCACTCAAAGACATCGAGCAGTACCTCAAGGATTGCGACTCTTTCGTCCAATTCGACCGACAGCTCAACCAATACACAAGGTCTGCCTCCCGGGGCCCACACTTTGCCCGCCATTTTCGCCCTTTGCCTCCCATTAGATCCCTGTCCTCTCGATTGTCATAAACTCTTGTTTTAACTGAACATTTGTCTCTCATATGTCTCCAGATTTGACAAACTGTTGGAAATGGTGTCCAACGACTGCAACAAATGGAGGTCTGAATCGCGTGAATATAAAGTGAAATTAGAAGAGACGAAGAAATTGATGGATAAATACCAACAAAACGAGATCTTTAACTATAACTGCAATCCTCGCAATCAGAACCTCTACAAGAGTCGCATTGGACTCAACCCCGTGTCCGACGAGTGTCTGCAACGACGCCGACGAGCACTGGAGACCCCGAAGGTTGTGAAGCGGAGGGCCTCGACGTCGGCCACCGACTCGGCGCCTGAATTAGCCGATTGTGAGCGACATATGAATGGCTACGACAGCGATGGCAGCGATGACAGCGACCGCAGTGTCAACAATGAAGTGATTTGTTACATATGTGTCGAGTGCGACAAAAACTATTCAACAAACTTTGAGTTCAATCTTCACGTACTGAAGGACCACAAGAATGTCGACATTTCCGACATCATCCGCAACGCCAACGTCAACACCGATCTGGACATCAGTGTCGAGACCAGCGGTGGCGACACCACTGAGAAGAAGTGTCGCAATCAGAAGAAGCGGGTCTTCAAGTGTGTGTATAATAAGTGCGGAAAAGCTTTCTATCGATTGAATGAATTGAAGAGACATTTCGTGAGACATCAGCCGAAAGTGGAGAGATTTGTGTTCATTTACAGCGATTACATGAATGCGTCCCTCAATCACATAAGAACTACCGTCCCGTTGAAGTCCAGTCATCGGCGGTCATCACCGCAATCTCATAACACAGAACTTAAACCCAATGTCCATATCATTCATAATCACAATAATGTCGATACGAGTAATGCGAGTGTCAATCACATCACCGGTAATAGTGGTGTGAATTACTTTGTGAATGACTCGCGAGTGAGTCATCCGAATGCCATTAATTATCACGAAAATGGTGTGTCCTCTTCGGCCACTGTTTCCCAATTTATTGCCAATAATGAGATTAATGGCAATTCAATGGCCAATGAATATCACATCTGCAATGAGACCGCAGATGAAGGCATGCCTTTAGCCCACAATCCGGACGAACAGCAGACACAAGAAGATTATTGTTTCGGTCTTCGGCTGAAGAATAATAAGACGTATTCCGCGATTCCAGGGTTTAATGGGTTTAATGGCGACGGCGACAGTAACCCAGAGTCACTGTTGATTCAGCGGATTCTTCAACAGCTGACTAGGCAGCAAATGAGTAACGCTTCGGTAGACTCTCAGTAAACTAAGTAATTAAATACACAAAAAATAAATTATATAAAAACTTAAAGTAAAAGTGTTAATTTATATTAATTTAATTGTATTTTATTTTGTACTGAGAGTTCAAAACGTATGACTGACACAAACCGTTAATTTAACAAAACTTTTGGTTTAAAAGTTATAAAACTCATTCATTTCAGCATTAATTCCGTTTATTATTCTCTGAATTGTATTATATGTTGAGATATTCTCCACTTTTATAACATTTTGGTCATGAATTATAATTTAATTATTTTTCAAGTTTATACTTATTATTATTGACTATAAATAAAAAAAAAGTCTATCCTTTGATGAATTTGGCAAATTCTATGCCATTATAGTCTATGCCATAGCTATTTGTGACACAATTTCTTGTATAAAATACAAAAACTAATTTAATAATGATTTTTGTTTTACATTTACACTACCTTTTAATTTATGCATTAATTGGTCGCAAATTTATAGCAAATATTTTTCATTATAAGGAGTTTGCGATGCAATTGATGTGAATATGAACTGTATATCAAAAAGCGATTCCATTTAAAATGAATTAAAATTATATTTAATTATTATCTCAAATCTAACTGTAATTTACTGATCCGTTGTTCACTAGACGTGATAATATAATGTAGTAATAAATGTACTGAAAAATATTTTGAGATTTGAAAAATTGTTTTTATTTCAAATAATTTTTTATTCAATTCAAAAACGAGAACATAATTTTTGACAATTTTATTGTATTTTATAAATTTTTCATTTCGCTGTCAATTCTTGTTTGAAACACAATTTTTATTATCAATAATAATATTATTTAATTTATTTATTATAAGTAATATCACATTTGCATTGATTTTGAAACAACCGGTGTTTTTGTGTCCGACCAGTTGTGAAACCAATTTATAGTTTAATTTAATTTAATTATAAATTTCATAAACAATTCAATAGATAGAGAGAAAAGAGGGGAATATAGCGACAGATTTGTTGTTTATATTGTGTTTGAAACTTGTTTTAAACATTTTTATGATTTAAACATAAAATGTTTGTCTCTTTTCATTTAATTAATAACAAGTATTTAATGGGAGTTTCGATATACAAATCGATACACAAATTAGTCAATGAATTGACCGAAAAATATATTATATTTATAATAATGAGACGAAATAATAATAATAAGTTTTTCAAAACATTAAATCAACGAACAATAATAATATTAATAATCAATAATCAATAGTCAGTAAATCAAATGATTTCCAGAGAAAGCTATTTATAATATAATTATATGTATAATCAATATATATATTAACAAACATTTTGATGAACTATACGTTTTCGATAAGTTTGACATTTATTTACATAAAGTTTTATTTTAAAAAAGCTTTTTATAATTGAAGTTATATTCAATTGATTTTACATTAGTTTTGTGGTCATAATTCTTACGATCAAAAAATACCCTTAATTTGCTGAAAATTGTATTTCATTTGTTTTTCTTTCAAATGCTATGTTATTTGCTGAAAATCAGTTTCAATTATAAGAATTATTTGTTTGTATATTATATATACTTTTATTTCTCTCTTTTATATAATATATTAAAATTAGAAATCATTTATAAGTTATTCATATATTTGTCTTATATTTTCACAAAATGTTATGTCGATTGCAATGATATGTCAAAATGAGTGTGTTTTGTATGTATGGAAATGATATCTTATTATTATTAGAGTTTATAAACAATTGCTTTTTAATAATTATTTTATGAATCAATTGTTTTCTGGTTTAGCAAAGAGTTTATATATGAATGTGTGGTTTGATAACAGACTTTGAGGGGAAGACTCGCATAATGTATGGCTACGAAAATAAAGTGACCAAAAAATAGTGACTAAATAACAACATAAAACAAAAATCTATTTTATCCTTCATTTCAATAACAAATTTGTTTGAAACCAAAAATATCGAGTAAAAGACAATAAAAATATTTCGAAATCGAAACAAACAAATAATTCCTTCAATTAGTCATTGAATATGAAATCAAAGGTTAAGTTTTGCAGAGGTTTTACTGCATTCATACAAATCAGCTTTTGGTGATAAAAATCATATAAAAGTAGTGAAATTCTTGCAATAAATATGATTAACGCATAAAAAACTCCAAGAGTTCAGAGTCTAAGGTCTAAAAGTGAAAAAGTCTTTTCGCGTCTAGACTTGGAAACCAATGGAAAGGCGTTTATTGGCGTTTCGATTGGAAAAAACAGAATAACAATTGATTAGGAAAAGCGTTTTTAAACACATTTTTGAGGCGAATTACATATCAAAGAGCAAACTGAAGGCAAAATAACAAGAAATGGTGCGATAAGTGACACGAATACAAGTGATGCCATTCATGCCATTTGTTGCGCTAACGGGTGATGGGTCTGCATATGGGAGCCCAGCAGTAATGATGAGGTGAACCCGGCGTCGCAGGTGTCGCATACGTGGGGTCGGGCGGCCGTATGGGTCAACTGGTGCTGCAATAGACACACAGATTAATAAAACACAAAAAAAGACTAGAAATCATGGCATACCTCGTGATATATGACTACGTCATCGAAGCCCTTATGACAGTAATCGCACTCATAGTCATGCCTTTCCTCGACCTGAGGCGACGGGCTTTCCGATGGGTGATCGCAATACAGGTGCACCTGAAGGAACTTCGCCCCTTTGAATGTCTGTCCGCACAGATGGCAAGTGTTGGATCGGGTGGACGTGAATCCTGACTGAGGTTGCGGTGCGACCGCCGCTGCTGGCGGAGGAACTGGAGGTTGTGGTTGTTGTTGTGGAACGGGTGGCGATTTGGGAACGGCTGGTGGTGATGAGGGTCTAGTGATGGGCGACAGTTGTGACGGAATACGAGGACTGGTGGTGAGTAATGGTGGCGGTGGTGGTAGCGATGGTTGACTGTTGACGAGCACCGGTGGCTGTCTTTCCCTCTGATCTAACGAGTGGTAAAAGCCTTCATTTGGTTCGTTCTTCACTTGCGAGTTGTCATCGAAGGAGTGATTGTCTGATTCGGGCATTGGTTCGGACGCCCACCTCATCTGTCTCGGGTCGTACAGGCGCTGAGCCATCATTTGCAGGCTTTGCAGTGAGTTCTCGCAGTCGGTGGTGTCGATCTCGTTCAGGTTCACCCCTGACCTCTCCATCTCGGCGTACATACCGAATGGCAACTTACCCAGACACTCCAGTTTCATGATATGCATTTTGGAGCGCAGGTGTTTGGCTAAGTGGCCGTGGATTCTGAAGGCTATCTTACAGTCGGCGCACTTGAAGGGCCGGGGGTTGTCGGTGGTGGGCGTGCCGAAGGTCGAGTTGATGGTCACTTTGTTGAAGTGAGAGACGGATCGCTTGTGTTTCTGGAGGTGGCCTTTGGTCCGGAAACTGACGGCACAGGAGTCGCACTTAAACGGGCGCTCAAAGTAATGGATGTTTTCGTGGAGTCGGAGTTGCGATGGTTTGGAGAACTGCTTGGAACAGATGGAACAAATAGGTGGCCTTTGGTCCGGAAACTGACGGCACAGGAGTCGCACTTAAACGGGCGCTCAAAGTAATGGATGTTTTCGTGGAGTCGGAGTTGCGATGGTTTGGAGAACTGCTTGGAACAGATGGAACAAATCGATTTGCCGTCCACTGAGTCCACGATCACCCGTTGCGGTGCCTTCGGAATGAACTCTCCGTGTCGGAGTCCGGCGGCCAGTCCGTTGGGAACGGCGTTCGGTGATGTCATTTGCGGCAAAACGATTCCCTCGATCACCGGTTCGTTGGGTTTTGTACTCAATGAGAGATCCATTGGCTCTTCGCGCTCCTGAATGGCCGGGAACTGACTCGACGTCTTCCGCGGCTGCGAATCAAAGCGTCGTTCGGCGATCACTGACATGGAATACCTCCGGAGTGCAAACGAGTCCATAGAGTCCTCCCCTTCACCACTGCTCTCTTCACTGATTGGTTCGATGGGCTCGAGAGGTATGTGCGAAGACGTGGTCGTATTAAACACGTTGTTGTGGCTGTGATTGGAGGGCACGAGTGGCACGTCGTTGAATGAGTAGGAACGGGGTCTCGACAGTTGGTCGCAGTTCGGTGTCCACGTGGTCTGCAGCAGGTGTTGCTGGTGCTGATGGACCTGTTGCTGCAGCTGCTCTATGGGCGACAGTTTGCGCGGCGACGACATCATCGGCGGTTCGGTCGACAACTTTCTCGGCGACGACATCATCATTGGTTCCGTCGGTGGCTTCATAATGGATGACATGTGAAAGTCGGCCACCGGTTCCGACACTGGTTTCACAGCAATGGGTGACATCTGATGCTGTGATATACGCCTCTGTTGTTCGGCTTCGAGGATCTGTTGAGACACTCGTCTCTGTTTCTCTTCAAACATCTGTTGCGAGACTCGTCTGTCGATTACCGAAACCTTTCGCTTTTCGGGAGAGTTAGGGATGTCTTCGTGGATGGCGTTCGACGTCTTGCGAGCGGTTGTTGTCGTCAAATCGGACTCAGAGCCCGAGCCCGACAGTATTAGTAGACTGCGGGCCGCCTCCTGTTCCTCGGCTTCCGTGGCGTTAGAGCCCGACTCGGACACCGTTCTGGTCCTGCCCTCCATGTCCGCGTCGTCGAACTGTCCGGGAACTACCGGAAGGGGTGCCATGCGTTGCAACTCAATCAACGGTATGGGAACTCCTAAAAGCAATTTGCCATTAGTTTGAAAGTTACAAAACTATAGTTCACAGAAACTACTGATACATACCCTCGTCATCCTCTTCCTCCTCGTCCTCATCCCATTCGCCCTCATCTTCATCCTCGTCCTCGTCTTCGGGCAAATTGCCGCACGAGATCTCCAGCATCTCTTGCTTGGCGAGCGCGTCGGTGTCGATCTGGGACTCATCGATCGTGATGGGCACCGGTATGATACCCATCTCCACGCACTTCTTGTGATGGGCTTTCGATTTCATGTGTTTCGTGAGATTGCCTTTGGTTTTGAAGGCGAAGGCGCAGTGACGGCAACTATAAGGCCTGAGATCGGTATGCGTGCGGATGTGCTTCTTCAGCATCGATGGTTTCTTGCAGCGAATGCCACACTCTTCGCACACATACTTTCCACGACCCCTACCCCTCACGTACGTGTAGTCCTCATTGGATTTGAAACCGCCTAAAATACAGCGAATGGCAAACCAAACACACGATTAATGAGTTATTCACACAATATTTTAAGGAAAGTTTTTGGTGTGAAAAATATTGATTAATATATAGTTTATATTTAACTATCGATTTACAGATAAACGCGAAAATTATCACTAAATTCGTGTCAAATTCTGGAGAATTGCCTCAAAATCACACGACTTTAAAGTTAGCGACAAAAATCATTTAAATCAATTTAATAAAATACTGATCGCACACTCGACAGGTATTGTTTTGAATACGAAAACAAGTTTTATTCAAAACAATTAATTAAAATATTGTTTATCAGGAAAAACAGATTCTCATGTGATCTCAAGATATTACAAGACATGAGCAGAAGAAGTCTTTGATTATCAATAGCGATGAGAAAAACAACTAAAAAATTTCCAATTTATTGATATTTATGTATATGAATAGACACTTTAATGAGAAAAAATAATTACAATACTTATACATAGAATTAAATGCAACATTTAAATTCTAACCTAAAAACTAACAAAACCTTTTGTGTAATGTTTTACGAATTCAATAATAAAATCTAATGTTTGTCAAGTATTTACAATAGAAAAGTGTAATAAAAAATGAATAAATTATTTTATTATTTGTCTTTTTATTAGTCATTAAAAGCTAATCAGTTGTCAGAAAGTGATAACAGAATCTGCGATAAAATTATAGACAATGTGGAAACGACTGTAAAAGTAATGCATTGAAACAAAATGAGGAAATTTCTGCAGAAAAACAACAAAAAATTTAATTTCAATTCTTATATAATAACAGAAATCTCAGGAGAAGTGCAACGGTTGTGAGGACTGGAGTGGGAAGTGAGTGGAAAACTGCACACAAAAACTCTATGAGAAGTGCTGTTTAAACACAAACAGAATATTTTTGGGTATAAATGACTTTGGATCGACCAAAGCACACATAATAATAGAAAACTATATAATCATAATAAACAGATATTGAGGCAAAGAATTACTGCATTAATCATTACATAATGCTATATATTTGATAAAGTTATGAAGAATTTGCGAAAATAGTTTAATCTCAAAAGACTTGAAACTTGAACAGAAATAAATAAATAACAGTTAACTAGAAACGCCTAAAAGTCTGTACTCTAAAAATAAACACCAAGAACATGAGACAAAAAATGCACAAACAATTGTCTAACAACACAGAGAATAGTGACTCAAATAAAATAATATTTCGATTATTCACTGTTTGTCGGGAAGGAAAACAGACAATAAAAAAGCAATATTTAAGCCGAAAGTAAGCTACACTAACAATAACAATAGGCAATTCTGGAAATAAAAAAATTAAAACATTTTTTGGTGTTGTATTTGTCTTGACTATAGGAAACATATATCACTTGTTTTGGTCGAAAGAATCGATTTTGCGATCGAATTACAGGAAACCGAATCGAAACAGATATTTATGGATCAGGTTTTGCACAGACTATGCAAATAGACTATTGCATAGGAATAGCAATATCTATGAATAGATATTAATAAGTATACGCTCAGCAAAAGGCATTTTCTCACACATCACACACACAATTGGTTTCATATAAACGAAATATAATTAAAATACAAACACAAGTGTTTTTTGTGTCTTTGGTGGTGATAATCACGATAAATAACTGTATTCTTCGTCATGATTAGCGTATAAGCGCACAGAAAATTGATATCATTTTTGATACTGTATTTCATTCATTCAATTCACTCGATGCTAACTCGAGGCTAAGTGTTACCGAAGTAATGACAGAATGCAATGAAAATAAAAATGAGAAAAATTTTTGTAATGAATTTCGTGTGCAATAAGAGAGTGGAGAAGGAAATAGAGAACAGATTTGAACTCTGGATTCAAGTCATAGATTGGAGTGAAGAGTGAAAAAAACTTTAAGGAAAAATATTTTCTCATATGATTTGCATAACACGGCTATTATTAAACACACAGTTATGTCACTAAAAGGAGTGCTGGTATTTAAAAAGAGAGGCCAAACACTGGGGGGAGAGAGAGATGAGAGAAAGTCTGATAAGTGAGTGGAGAGAGAGAGAGAGAGAGAGAAAGAGAGAGAGAGAGAGACTGGCTGGTGGTGTAATAGATATGACAAACCAAACAAATGGTGTGTAATTCAGTGCTGTTTGGCTCACACAATGGGATAGCATTGGGAGGAAAGGGCTATTCAACAGCAGATAAAATAAGTGCTCAAAAGGAAGGGTCGATAACCCGGCGCTCTAATAGTGGCGGAAAGACACACAAGTGAGCGCTAAATCGATTCAATGTTACGGACCATCGAAAGAATACAATAGAAAATAAATACAATAAATACCTTCAAAGATGCGAACCCTTTTGGGAGGGCCCGCATCACCGTTAGCGCCGCCATCCGAGTCAGTGTCGCCCGAATAGGCCGACGAAGCGCTCACTTCTTCGCTCAACTTCCTGTAGACCTGTTCGGCACTCTCGCCGACGTCTTCCCTGAGCCTCGCGATCACGTCCTTCAGGTTCTCCTTCTCGTCGTCAGACCTCCTGAACCTCCAGTAACTCGAATGCGTTGAATTGAGTTCAGTCTTGGAGGGGGAGGTCATCACCATTGAGTCGACCCGATGTTTGTCGCGCGAGTCGTATAAGCCGAGCACCACTGGAGGGGTCGCCAAATTCATCACGTCGTCGGTGGTCAACGGACTGGTCGTCCAATTGGAGTACATGGAAAGGTGGGGATCAGTCTCTTGCTGGACAAACATGGGCTGAGTCTTGTATATCGTGCAGTAGACGGGCCGGGGCTTCACTTTGTGCCCAATGCGACTGTAGGCGTGTCCACTCATATAGGTCTCCACACAGGTCTTGTTGGATCGGGGAGTGTCGGGCGACACCAGTATAGAGCTGACCAGATTTGAGCCGTTATTCGAGCGCAGCGACAGCGTTGTCGGTCTAATCGCACCGGTAGTCTTAGGCACGACTAACCCGTTGACTGGAGACAAGACTCGTATCACTTCTTTGTCGTTCTCCTTATCCTTATCGAGAACTTCCATCTCTTCGTCAATCGCATCCTCGGTTTCATTACTCGCATCCGAGTCATTGGTGTCGAGCGCCGGCTGAGACGCCACTTGTCTGTACTTATCGGTTGTGGTGGCGCTGGTCTTGCGCTCAGGCGATGGGAAGGAACTGTCGCTGGAATTATAGTACTCGTCGTCTACTGTGAACTCAATATTGGTTCCGTTGGCCAACTGGTCCTTAAGCACCGGAAAAACGATGGGTCCCTTGAATGTGATGGTCGCCTGTGGGCGCTGGAGGTGTGGCATATACGCGGGCAGCATCTCGATGGGCGTACGGGCGCCGGCGTTGACTAGATCTGTACCATACGTGTTAAGCACCGGTTGCGTTGTGGTCGTCATCTGAGTGTGCGATCGACCGCCGCTCGCATTATCGTAACAAATGGGTATCGACTGGTGACTCGGGAACCGGTAGTTGTTCTCAATGACGGTGGCGCCCGAGTGCAGCACCGGCTGTATGACCGACGATATATGCGACGACGATATGATTGGCAGAGCGGCGGTCGCCGGGCCCGTCAGCTGTGGGCTTGACTTAGTGGTGAATATTGGCGGCGAGTGGGTAGTGGTGTGGCTGTGGTGGTGGTGATGATGGGTCGGCTGTACCACTGATATCCTTCGCACCGAATGCTCCTCTAATTAATCGGGAATTAATTATTTTAACGTTTAATTCGCGTAATCATTAGATTTTGTTTGTNCGAGTGGGTAGTGGTGTGGCTGTGGTGGTGGTGATGATGGGTCGGCTGTACCACTGATATCCTTCGCACCGAATGCTCCTCTAATTAATCGGGAATTAATTATTTTAACGTTTAATTCGCGTAATCATTAGATTTTGTTTGTTTGCATCATAAATAGAAATCAAAGAATGAAAAACTAAAAATAAAAACTTTAATATAGTTTATGGAAAAAATCGCTCAAAAAATATTATCAGAATATAAATTACTGATTAATTTGTAAAAAATCTATGTATAAAAAATTGTTTCCCTCACACTTTGTCTGTGTCTCACTAAATAGTCTGTTGACACATAAAACCATTTCTAATCTCTGGGAAAATATATATTATATTTGCGATTCGAGTAATGCATTCATCGAAAGCGTGCTTTAAATGTGAAGTCATTTATGTGAAAATAATTATTTAATATATTAAACTTGCTATTACCCGTGCAGTATTGTGCTGACGTACAGAGGGGGTTAAGTTACACACGAAAAGAATATCTCGAGGCCTTAAAGGGTTAAGTACACTGCACTGGTATTACGAGGGCGATAGGCACCAGAATTGCTGCTAAAATATAGTCATTTCTAAACGACACCATAAAAAACCTAATGATTGGCTTTGAATCTAAGAGCTCCGGAATTTCCCAATTCATGTGAGCACTGGTATTACGAGGGCGATAGGCACCAGAATTGCTGCTAAAATATAGTCATTTCTAAACGACACCATAAAAAACCTAATGATTGGCTTTGAATCTCAGATCTCTGGCGACACACTATTGCCTATAATTATGTGTAATATGTGTTTCACAACACGATAGAGACTCTAAAACTAAAAACACAATTACATGTCATATGAATGCGAATTTACAGAGAATTTTGTCACAAAGATTACGGCATTGAATAAATAGTGGGACGGGAGAGGGGAGGGAACGGGAGAGACTTCGGCAGTGGGAATAAAGTGCACCAATTCTTGAGCATTGATTTTATCGATAATATATTTTATATAAATCAGCGATAATTTTATGGAAATATTCCACTAGTCCTACAGTCGTCCTAAGGTAAGCCGTATACATATAAATGACTACCACTTATAGAGTGTGGTATGTGTACCACAAACAGAAAGACAAAAAGTTGGACGACCTCTACGTTTCTCTCAAGACTTTGTGGGATATCCTTCACTCAGCGAAATACTAGTGCTCTCATGAGTGCAGAGGAAAAACAGTTTTATAAATACTATAGTGAGCTGTGGTTGTCATACATGTTGTGCTGCAATATCGCGACTGACGGTCGGCTTACTCTGGAAATGCGATCACAAGAATTATATATATAAACCTTCAAGAGTTGGCTGACATTTAAATTATAAACAAAAACTCATATTTTTCGACAAAACAACACAAACAGTCGTTTAGAAACCCAAAAAATAGCTAAACATATGGTCCGTAATTGAGGTGTATTTCAATAGAAATATTAACTCCCAATGGTTTAACAGTCTCTTTGCGGAAAATCCACACTTTTCTGGTGTACTGTATGTTTGGAGGGGAAAGGAAGGAAAGGGATCGAGACATAGAGATGTACCGTATATTAAATGATTTTATTAATAGAAACACTTACTGTAAAACCAGAAATTAAACACAAATTTTTCTGTTTTAAACAAAAGCCCGGAATTAATATATCATAACATTTAGTGTGCCTTTTGAGTGAATAATCACATCAAACATATCCAACAAAAATGTGGATTATTTCTACAAAAACAATAAAAATTCTTCAAAACCATTCAAAATGTTTTAAAAATAAATTCTTAATTTTATTGACTGAGAAATGTTATAAAAATATCCATTTATTGATTAATTAAAATGAAGTGCTTTTTGATTCCGCGAGAGAGAAGATCCGAGAGAGAGAGAGAGAGAGAGAGACCGANCTCTATCGTGTTGTGAAACACATATTACACATAATTATAGGCAATAGTGTGTCGCCAGAGATCTCAGATTCAAAGCCAATCATTAGGTTTTTTATGGTGTCGTTTAGAAATGACTATATTTTAGCAGCAATTCTGGTGCCTATCGCCCTCGTAATACCAGTGCTCACATGAATTGGGAAATTCCGGAGCTCTATAAGAAAAGCACACATTGAATTGGGGGAGACATGCAGTCGTGTTATGACGTGCCCATTATCGTTCAAATTATATAATTTATTAATAAAAGTGTATTTCGACTCACATTTAAAGCACGCTTTCGATGAATGCATTACTCGAATCGCAAATATTAAATATATTTTCCCAGAGATTAGAAATGGTTTTATGTGTCGACAGACTATTTAGAGACACAGACACTGTGTGAGGGAAACAATTTTTTATAAATACATTTTTTACAAATTAATCAGTAATTTATATTCTGATAATATTTGTTGAGCGATTTTTTCCATAAACTATATTAAAGTTATTATTTTTAGTTTTTCATTCTTTGATTCCTATTTATGATGACAAACAAAATCTAATGATTACGCGAATTAAACGTTAAAATAATTAATTCCCGATTAATTAGAGGAGCATTCGGTGCGAAGGATATCAGTGGTACAGCCGACCCATCATCACCACCACCACAGCCAC